CCAGTGCTATGTTGAACAACAGTGGTGAGAGTGGACATCCCTGTTGTGTTCCTGACCTTAGGGGAAAAGCTCTCAGTTTTTCCCCATTGAAGATGATATTAAAGATTTTTTTATTTATTCATTCGAGACACAGAGATACAGAGAGAGAGAGAACATGAGCAGGGGGAGAAGCAGAGGGAAGGGGAGAAGCAGGCCCCCCCACTGAGCAGGGAGCCTGATGTGGGGCTTGATCCCAGGACCCTGGGATCATGACCTGAGCCAAAGGTAGACTTTTAACCATCTGAGCCACCCAGGCGCCCCTGAATATGGGTCTTTCATATATGGCCTTTATGATGTTGAGGTATGTTCCTTCTGTCTCTACTTTCTTGAGGGTTTTTTATCAAGAAAGATGCTGTATTTTGTTAAATGCTTTTTTTGCATCTATTGAGAGCATCATATAGTTCTTATCCTTTCTTTTACTGACGTAGTATATCACATTGATTTGTAGATGTTGAACCACCCCTGCAACCCAGGAATAAATCCCACTTGATCATGGAAAATAATTCTTTTTTTTAAGTGTCTTTTTTAATGATTTATTTATTTATTTGAGAGAGAGAGAGAGAATGAGAGAGAGAGAGAGAGCATGAGAGAGGGGAGGGTCAGAGGGAAAAGCAGACTCCCTGCTGAGCAGGAAGCACAATGCGGGACTCGATTCTGGGGCTCCAGGATCATGACCTGAGCTGAAGGCAGTTGCTTAACCAACTGAGCCACCCAGGCACCCATCATGGTGAATAATTCTTTTAATGTACTGTTGGATTTGATTCTCTAGTATCTTGTTGAGAATTTTTGCATCTGTGTTCATTAGGGATAATGGTCTGTAACTCTCTTTTTTAGTGGAGTCTTTGTCTTTTTTTTTGGAAACAAAGTAATGGTGGCCCCATAGAATGAATTTGGAAGTTTTCCTTCCATTTCTGTTTTTTGAAACAGTTTGAGAAGAATAGGTATAAACTCTTCTTTAAATGTTTGGTAGAATTCCCCTGGGAAGCCATCCGGCCCTGGACTGTTGTTTGTTGGAGATTTTTGATTACTGATTCAATTTCTTTCCTGGTTGTGGGTCTGTTCAATTTTTCTATTTCTTTCTGTTTCAGTTTTGGTAGTTTATATGTTTTAGGATTTTTTTTTTTAAGATTTTATTTATTTGACAGAGAGAGACTCAGCGAGAGAGGGAATACAAGCAGGGGGAGTGGGAGAGGGAGAAGCAGACTTCCCGCTGAGCAGGGAGCCCGATGCGGGGCTCGATCCCAGGACCCTGGGATCATGACCTGAGTCGAAGGCAGACGCTTAACGACTGAGTCACCCAGGCGCCCCTGTGTTTTAAGATTTATCCATTTCTTCCAGGTTGCCCAGTTTGTTGGCATATAATTGCTCGTAATATTCTCTTATAATTGTTTGTATTTTTTTTAGTATTCATTGTGATCTCTCCTCTTTCATTCATGATTTTATTTATGTGGGTTTTTTCTCTTTTCTTTTTGATAAGTCTGGCTAGGGGTTTATCAATTTTGTTGTCTTTCAAAGAACCAGCTCTTAGTTTCGTTGATCTGTTCTACTGTTTTTTTGATTTCTATTTCATTTATTTCTGCTCTAATCTTTATTATTTCTCTTCTTCTGCTGGCTTTAAGCTTTATTTGCTGTTCTTTTTCCAGCTCCTTTAGGTGTGCTGTTAGGTTGTGTTGCCAAACTGGTTTTTGACAAAGGTGCAAAAGCAATTCAACGGAGGAAGGTTTGCTTTCTCAACAAATGGTCCTGGAGTAATTGCACATCCATAGGCAATAAAATGAACTCTGACCTAAACTTTACATCTTATACAACAATGAACTCAAAATAGATCACAGACTTACATGTGGAACATAAAAAAATATACAACTTTTAGAAAATAAAACAAGAAAGAAATCATCAGGGTCTAGGGCTAGCAAAGGTTCTTAGACTTTACACCAAAAGTATAATCCATAGAAGGACAAGGATAAATTTTTGCTCTATGAAAGTTCCCTTTAAGAGGATGAAAAGACAAATGATAGAACAGGAGAAACCACTTATGAGACAAAATACTTTATCCAGAATGTTTAAAGAATTCCCAAAACTCAATAGTAAAAAAAAAGGAACAACCCAATTAGAAAATGGGCAAAAGGCATGAGCAGAGCCCTCACCAAAGAGGATACATGGATGGTAAAAAACACATTAAAACATGTGCAACATCATCAGCCACCAGAGAAGTGAGAATTAAAACTACAATGATATATCACTATAGACCTATCGAAAAGGCTAGAAAAATTACTGACAACACCAATGCTGGTGAAAATGTGGAGACATTGGATCCCACATACATTGCTGGTGGGAATTTAAATGGTAAAGCGACTCTGGAGAGCAGTCTGGCAGTTTCTTCTAAAACTAAACATGCGATTACTTTCCTACCCAGTAATTGCACTCTTGGGCATTTATCCCAGGGAAATGAAAATTCATGTTCATGGAAACCTGTACATGACTGTTCATAACAGCCCTAACCTGAAATCAGCCCAAGTGTCCTTTAATCTGGTAGATGGTTAAACAAATTATTCCACAGAATACTATTCAGCAATGAAAATTGGTAAGTTGGATGGATTTCAAGGGCATCATGGAGGAAGGGCTGCTTTTTCAACAAATGGTCCTGGAGCAATTGGACATCCACAGGCAAAAATAGGACAAAAAGCCAATCTTTTTCTTCTTCTTTTTTTAAAGATTTTATTTAGGGGCACCTGGGTGGCTCAGTCATTAAGTGTCTGCCTTTGGCTCAGGTCATGATCCCGGGGTCCTGGGATTGAGCCCCACATCGGGCTCCCTGCTCGGCCTCCCCCTGCTTGTGTTCCCTCTCTCACTGTGTCTCTCTCTGTTAAATGGATAAAATCTTTAAAAAAAAAATAAAGATTTTATTTATTTGTTTGACAGAGAGAGAGACAGGGAGAGAGGGAACACAAGCAGGGGGAGTGGGAGAAGGAAAAGCAGGCTTCCCGCTGAGCAGGGAGCCTGATGCATGCAGGGCTTGATCCCAGGACCCCTGAGATCATGATCTGAGCCGAAGGCAGGCGCTTAACGACTGAGCCACCCAGGCACCCTGGAAAAAAAGCCAATCTTAAAAGGTTTCATACTGTATCCTTCCACTTACATAGCATTCTTGAAATAAAGTTATAAAGATGGAGAACAAATTAGTGGCTGACAAGGGTTAGGGATGGGCGCAGGTGTGGCTATAAAAGGATAGCACCAGGGAGCCTTGTAGTAATGTCATAGTTCTGTATGGTGATTGTGGTTACAGGAATCTACACACATATTGCATAAAACCACATATACGAATGCATGTAAAACTGGTGAAATATGAATAAACTCTGTGGATTGTACCAATGTCAATTTCCTGGTTTAATACTGTACTGTTACCACTGTGGGGAACTAGGTGAAGGGATATAGGGAAACTTCCCTGTACTTTTTTTGGGGCCACCTCATGTGAATCTATAATTATTTTCAACAAGTTTAAAAACATCTTAATTTTTTAAAAATTCACTGACTTTTTCACCTTTTTTTTTTTTTTTCCCCAAGGGAGATTTGGTGGGGCTTAAGGGTTTAAGCAGGGTTGTGACATTTGGATAGATCTTCCTGGTGGTTTCTTAGAGGACGGATATGAGGGAGGGCAAGACTAGAAGCAGAAAGATATATATTTCATTGATTCTAGGAGGCATTTTGTTTTTTCATTTTAACATCTAAATTGGGATGTTTCATTATAACTATCAGCCAGACAGTAGTCATACTGTATTTGTCATACCTACTCAGAAGAATTAAAACTTGTGAAATGGGTGTCTGAGGCTTGGAAGAAAATTCCAGAGACAGAAGAGGAACATTCTTTTAAGAAATGCTGCATCACCACAGCCCTTGATGGCATGCACAGAGGGCTACATTGTGTGAAAAATCATGGACATCTAAGACTGAGTCAGAAAAAAAAAAAAAAAAGAATCCTAGGAGTCAGCCTCTGAATGTGAAGTTTTGGGACTATTGTTACCCTGTTACTCTTTTTAAATTTCCTTTTTATGTACGCACAAGAGTGAACTATTATAGAATCTGTATCTGTATAAATCTACACTTTCAATAAATATAAAATAAAAATTCAAAGTGATAAAGCGTGGTGTCAGTTTATTTGCTACCTTTTTTTCTTAACGGGAGCTAAAATAATGGTTAAGTTTTACAACTGATGGCGTCCAGGCAAGGGATAATAGCCTAAAGTGAGAGTAGGACCATGATAAGAGGGGGAGAGAATCCTTGAGAAACGAAGAAGGAAAAATCGACTCAACTTTGGTGAATTATCAGAGGAGGGGTACAGATGAACGGGTAAGGAAATCTAGGATGGTTTCCAGGTTTTTAATTTGGGCAACTGAGTCGATGTGGTGACCTATGTGGAAGGGATAGAAGGGGAGGGCTTGCAGGGGGAGTTCGTTTTAGGAAACATTGCTTGAGGAGCTTGCTGGCTATGTTGAAGGGAAAAGATGAATGAAGCCTTCGTAATTGCTCTGGAGGGACCGAACCCCGCGCCCAGTACTGGGTGACAAGGGCCCACGGCTCTGCCTCGATGGATTCTGCACCTCAGAGCTGTTTGTGAGGGATGGGAACGTAGGGTCTGCGCGCCCCGCTGTGAGTAGACTGCGGGACCGCCTCGTTACCTAACACTCTGGGGTCTGGGCAACAGCAAGCTGAGGCCCGCCAGCGACTGTGACTGGCTGGAGAGGCGGGCGCCGGGGGCCGTGGGCGGGCCCGGACTTCAGGAACTGCTCAGCGATTGGCTGGCAGGTACCCAAAGAGCCTCAATCAAACTGTTGGCCCCGCCCTTCCAGAGAGCTGGCGCATATTTCCACTCAGCCCTGTCGCTTAGTTAGACTGGTAAGCAAACTATAGTTGTGGTGGTCAGTGAACGATCCCCTCGGCCACCGCTCCTTCGCGGAGACGGGCTGTGAGAGGAGAGCTGGGATTGGCCAACTTGCAGGGGCGGGGCGGGCTCGGCCTTAGTCGGGCTCTGCTTCGGGACGGGCGCCTGTCCTGGGCGTCTATTGGGCTGCGGGATTGTCAACGTTACTGGGAGGCGTGGCCGACGCTAATAAAGTGTGGGACCCGCGCGGCAGCTGCGGTAAGTTCCACCGCAGCTAGAGCTCCGGGTGGTCGGGTGGGGGCGGAGCTTGGCGGCTCCGTAGACTTAAGCCGCAGCGTTTCCCCGGCCGGGTATCTGGCCGCAGCCTCAGGAGACAAGACGGATCCTTCAACCGTCACAGAAATGTAAGTTGACTCTGGTATGGGGGGCTCGACACCTCCTTGCCAACGCCCACTCCCAGCGCCGGACTCTGCGGGACGGAAAATGGCGCATTGCAGCAGCTGCGGCGACGCGGGGAACCACCACCGCGCGCCGCCCCCAGACCTGTCCGCCCCTGGGGAGGGAGGGCAGCACCCCATTCCTGCAGCAGCCACGCCAGCACCCCACGGGCGGGGTAGGGGCGCCGGGGTCCCACCTTCATGGCACTCTCTCCTCTCGCCTGCTGGGCGCCCCGTTCAGGTCTCGGTAATAGTGAAGCCCGGGACAGGGCGAAGGTGGGGCATGGAGAGACTTCGGGGAGGGGGTTCGAGACCCTTTCTTGTTGTCTGATCGAATCTGTACTTAGGGCCTCTGGAAACAGTAATGGGTGCACCTGCCAGTTAGTAACTTGAATTGCCCTGCAATCTCCGGATTTATGTATGCCCCTCGCCCCAACTGTGCCGTGTTACCCTACTCGCCCATCCCCTCTTGGCGGTGAGCAAAGAACCAGAAACTTATCTGACAGTTCTTTGGCGCCAGGTGAGCAGCTCAGAAAGACTCAGGGGGCAGTGGCATGTGATTCCAAGCAGCCATTCATCTCAAGGCCACCTGTATAGAAGCTGTTTTCCTGTCCTCCGGTTTTAGCCAAGTATTTGGAAGAGAAATAGAACTGAGGATCCCTGCCTTCCCGCAACAATTCAGTTTAGTCTCTGACCCCCTTCAACACAACCCCCATCCCAAGATCCTGAGGGAGAACTGTGGCGACACCACTATATATTTAATAGAGATTTTTTTCTTTCTTATTACTGTCTGGAGTCCTGGCTTGTCCTAGATATATTTATGTTGCTTCTCTTAGTGACAAAAAAGGGAAAAGATTTATTTATGTGACATATGGTTTATGATTACCCCTGGCTGTTTTATTGCTGAGTGTTCCCCAGTCCCAACAAATAGTGAAATGGTCCCTTCAGACGCTTTATAACAATTTCGTTTTTTCTCTTTTTGATTTCTACAGTTTTAACTGTATGTGATATTCTAAGCATTTTGGCCAAGCCCTAAGGTTCCATTCGCATGCCCCCCCCCCCCCCACTTTGGGAAGGAGGTGAATGGACTCGTTCCCAACAGCACACATGTGGGATGAACTGAAGGAAATGGAGAAAGCGTGGTGACTAGCAAGGCATCACGAGGTCTCTGACCTTAATCTTGTCATTGGTGCCACCATCCTGGACTGCTTCCAACACCAAATACTGGCTGCTAGCTACTCACTGAATTTTCCACCTTCAGAGAACTAGATTGCTTAGCTCAGTAGTAACATAAGAGTCTTGTGGCTTCCATGGCTTAGTATCTTTCTTTCTTTTGCTTCTTTTGTGCTTTAGAGGGAGATGAGAAAGTGATTTCTTTTAATGGGGTTGAGTTGGGTGTAATCTGCTAGGAAAGCCTCTCTGAAGAGTTATTCTCTATCTTTTTAGACCAAAAGAAATTCACTTAGGGAGGAAGAATTTTCTGGGTATTAGTTCTATTGTGAGTAGTCAAGGCATTTCCTTTTTGGTGACTTGTGATGCTATAATTCCTAATGCATTTACTCTTGTACTGCTCCTGGGAGGTATGTTTGGTGAGACTGTGCCCCTCTGTGAGGCGTTCTTGCTATAACTTCTATTCTCCATCAAGTTTGAGAGATCTCCCTCTGTTGGTGGGTTCTTTCTTGGGAGAGAAAAATCTCATGCCTTAGGTTAGATTTCTGGGAATTCTTTAGGAGGTGAATTTAGTCTCTGTGTGTTGGGACATGGAAAGGAGTTTATCTTGAAGACCCACACTAGATTCATCCCTTCTAAGGCTAAGGGAAAGAAAGGACAATCTCTGTGTGTAGTAGTGTGAACCAGGATTTCCCTTTGAGACATAAAGCACTAGGGGAGCCTCCTGAGACTTGATGCCAAATCTAGAAAAGGAAGGAACATGATGTCTATGATGCATTACATCGAGGACCATTACTCATATTCTTGCTTCCTGTCTATGCTCTTGGAAAAATTTCATAACTAACACAATTGCCTGGCACCCCAGGTCTATCTAAGTGAAACACCCATCTTCTCTGCCAAAAACAAAGCAAGCGAACAGTCCTGACTCAACTCTACCTACAGAAGCCTTGCCTTTGGTGATTCTCCAAGTTGTCCTTACAGCAGCCCCGATATACTAGTCATTGTGTGAAACAACTAATAACCGGTTTCCCTTAAGCAAGGTCTGTCAACTTGCTTGTCTTCTTTAGACTTTGCGTAAAAGAGCCATTCGGTCCATAGGCGTTAGGCTTTTGTACGAACTTCTAAACCTGGAGAGGAATTTTCCAGTTTGACTTTATGTGAAAGGCTTTTTTTTCTGTCAGGGAAGTGCCATTTAGTCCAAGGCTGGCACATTTGTCCCTGTAGCCATGTCCCTGTAGAGGATGTTTGAATTTGGGTGAAAGGATAGCCCCAAACAGGATCTCTTGATGCCACCCTGGATGTCCTTGAACCCCACGTAAATGTTGTTACAGGATCTTTCATCTCTTGCTTCTTCCTCTATGCTGCAGCTCCCTACTTGGAGTTGCCAAGAAGTTAGAATCCTTTCTAGTTGCAAGGTAGCCTAATCACCATTGTGTTCGTGGTAGGGGGTGAGAATGCACGTGATTCCTTTCTTGTCTCAGTTACTTTGTGTACTTGGTCCGCTTCCCTCCACAGGTCTGCTCCAGCTCAGCCACCCACTGAAGGGGCAGAAGGGACTGCCCCAGGAGGGGGTCCCCCTGGCCCTCCTCCTAATACGACCAGTAACAGACGACTACAACAAACCCAGGCACAAGTGGAGGAAGTAAGTGGAGAACTCTTTCTCTTGAGAGTTTCCAGATGATACAAGTTTAGAAACTTTTTTTTTTTTTAAATAGAGGGGTAGCTAAAAGCTCTGGGAAGCAAGGCATCCCTGAGTTACACAGGGCCAGACTTGAGATTCCATTGTTTTTACCCCTGTCTCTAGCAGGGAAGCTTACTAGCTTTGTTTCTGCACCCCCTCAGGTGGTGGACATCATGCGTGTGAATGTGGACAAGGTCCTGAAGAGGGATGAGATACTGTCACAGCTGGATGACCGAGCTGATGCCTTGCAGGTGGGAGCGTCACAATTTGAGAGCAGTGCTGCCAAGCTAAAGAGGAAGTATTGGTGGAAAAACTGCAAGGTGAGTTGTCTTGTCCTCTCTGCCTTCTCTTCCTGGGCCTCAACTCATAGAAGGCAAGAAAACCCTCAGGTTCTACCTGCCTCACCTCTGGTGGCGCAGGATCTCTGCCCTGCCGAACTCTGGGGAGGAAATCTGAAAGCCTCCTTGAGATGCATTACCCAGAATTGGCCGCCAGGGTAGGCCAGAGTACTCAGAACCACTAACTGGGTGCCAGCCCTACGTGAGGAGCTCGGAAGTGGTCAGTCAGGCTGCTTTTCCCCAAAGACCCCTGGGAAAATCTCGCCTGGCCCTTCCCCACACACAGCCAACATCCACACGATGGCTAGGGTAGGTATATATTTAAATACCTGCAGCTTTTAGGAATTAGCGGGATACTTCACAATGAAAAATGAACCAACTGACTAAAGATCCCAAGTCTGCACCTCCACTGGCATTCCTTTCAAAGCCTTCAGGCAATAGGAGCCAAGCGAAATGGAGCATGCTGCAGATGCCCTGATGTTTCTGGGAAGCCTCAGTGGTGGTGCAGGGGTGGTTGTCTCTTGGGGAACATGAGACAGGAGGGTTTGCCCTCTCCGAGAGGCCTGCCTATCTCCTGGGTGATGTGTCGTTTCTTCCACTGTCCCAAGGACGGAGGAAGTTCTTTTCCCATCTCTAGTGGGAACATCTCTTTCCTCTTCCCTAAATCCAAGGACCCATTTCTTGGTCAATGTTTCCTCAGATGATGATCATGCTGGGAGCTATCTGTGCCATCATCGTGGTAGTTATTGTAAGTAAGTATCGCTGAGGTTGCTGGTGGGGTGAAGAGGTGGGAAGGTCCTGGAGTCTTCTCCCAGCCCTGCCTGCCTGGGGAATGGGGCTGCTCTGACTGAGGTATGGAGATCGCTGCTGTGGGATCGTCACCTGGTTCGGGAGGGGGGAAGGACAAAGACAAGGGACTTCCCTGATGGACAAGCCTTCCCTCTGCAAGATCCCGTGGGAAGATGGTCCCTCCTGTCCTGAGGAAGTGGGGCTGTGCTGTTTGTCACTGGCTTGGGTCAGAGGGAGACCACGGGGATGGGACACCCACACCTGAAAGGCCTGAATGTCTAGTAACTTGATGTAATTTGCCCTCTTGTTTTCTCCTGTCTCTTTCTCTTTTCCATCTGGGACTTCCTGATTCCTGTGTCCAGTCTACTTTTTTACTTGAGAATGTGCCACCCCTTCCCTGTTCTCCATTGCCATCGAGACTCATATCCCTCTCCCTCTGTTTGCTCTCTCAACGAACGTCCCCGTCTACCTTCCTCCACCCTGTCCTGGCTTCTCCATCGCCCATTCCTCCGTTTCTGTTGCTTTCATTTGCACTGGGTCCCTCAACACTAGAAATGCTGCTCCTGGCACAGTCTCGAAGTAACTCCCCGAAGAACCGTAGGTGGCACCTCCCTCCCCTCTTCTTATGTACTCTCAGCTTCCCCCAAAGCCAAAAAGAGTTGGAGGCCAAGAGAAGAGGAAGGCATGTAGCCGCGGTGACATGCCCAAGAAGGTGCCAAGATTGGGGGAGGAGAAGGGTGTTGGTGCCCATGGTGTCACCAGGAAAGGCCAGGCTGCTGGAGGGGGCTGGGAACAGCGGGGAGAATGGCAGCTCATTCAGGACTGCCCTGGTCACTTGGGGCTCTTCTCCTAGGCCAGGCCTCAGAAGAGCGTGAGGTGGGCCCAAAGTCCAACTTGGTTCTGTGGTAGTACCCTTTCAGAAAGTCAAATCTGTTTTTGTGGTTATTTCTGATCTATTAGTCTGAGATTTTCGGTGTCGTCAGGGATCTTACGGCCTTTTGCTTTGTTTCCTGGAGACCTACAGAACACACATTAATTGCAAAAGGACCGGCTTCATTCCCATCTTAGAAGCAGCCCCCTAAGCTCATTACTACAAGGGGCTGTCTCTCGTTCACATTTTCTGCAGCATTCTGTATTGTTCATGAGAGCACTAAATAATTTCATATAGCCAAAGCTGGAGACTCTGAGTTAGTTTTAATTGTTGGCACAGATAAAGAGAGAACGAGTGTTAATTATAGAGAGACAACGAGTCAAGGGCCTAATTTGAGAATAACAAGCTCAGAGGAAGCCACTTGTTGCCTGTTTGTTGGGGAGGGTCCTGCTCCTCCCTGCCCGTTGATAACGTGTGAGGTGTTAGAAATGAGGATCCTTGGGCCCTTGGGGACTCCTCTCCTCTACACCCTTCCCATGTACTTAGCAAAGACAGGGATGAAGCAGGAGGTCCTTCCTGAGGCTGGCCGATTCTGAGTATTCCGAGAAGTCCAGTATACCCGCCAACCCGGTCTTGGGTGGGAGGCGGGACCGTCTGTGGACAGGTGTGCATGTGCACTGCTGTGCTGTCATGGGCCCTCTTATCTAGAGCCACCTGTCTGTTCTTCCTGCACTGTGTTCCCCTTCTAAACCACTGGTACCCTTCTGAATTCCACTTTGCCTCCTTTCCTTTCCTCTCTGCATGGTTTGTGGGGGCAGACAGTGGAACCTGAGGATGGGAGGCCAAGGCTGGGCTTCAGGATAGCGTGTGGAGTGGAACAGATCCAGGTGTGAGGGGAGGAAGGAGGCTGGGAGCAGCAAGGGGGAACACCCATGACCCCTTATTCCTCCCATCCTCCAGCCCACAAGCAGGAAGAGGCTGAGGCCAGGCCGGGCCGGGTCTGGATGCTCGCTTTCCATGCAGCAGCATTTCATTGTGCAAAACCATCCTTCCTCTCCCTTTACCCTTTTCCCACATTCCCTTCGTCCTGCCCCAGGGCAGGACTGAAGAGCTGGAAGAAAGCAGTCAGTGTACCCTCCCAACGGCCCCCCTCGAAGGTCTCCACTCTCCTTTGGGCTCCTCCTTGCCTAATGCAGGGGGTCACCGCTGGAGAAGAACCACCACTGTCCTCGATGTGTCCTAAGCCTGGAGCAAATTCGCACTCTTGGCCCACCTAGCCCTGGCACAGGAATTCTTTCCTGGGTTTCTGTCCCTCTGAGGCTCACCAGATGTAGTTGGCTTTGTTCTTTTGGGGATGTTTGGCCTTCTACTTTCTTTTTCACCCCACCCTGTACCCTCTTCTGTGTCTTTGCTGTCCCTCTTCCCTCCCACCACCCATGTGCATGAGCAAATATGCAACCAAACCCTGGGACTTTGCAGTCAAATGAAGCCAAGCTTCCCACATCCCCTCTTCCTTGGTTTGCCATGAGGCGATGTGGGGTTTCCACTGTGTGTCTGTCATCACCTTTGTCTTTTTTCCTACCCCCAACCTCGTACTTGTATAGAATAATAACCGTTGTACTTCCACCAAAGGCATGTGGCATATTTACCAACTTCATGTATCCTGAACAAAGGCAAAAAAATATAAATTCCTACCACTAAACTGCCTTGGTTGTTGTCTGGGTTGGAGTAACTAAGGAGGGGCGGGGGAGGGGGTTGTTTTCCTTCCACAGTGTGATGTTGCGTGAGGCCGGAAGGCTGGCTGTGTGTGCCGCGTGGCATTCTCGAGATTAAAGATCCGTGTGTTGGCAGAGGAAGTGGTCTCTACACCCTGCGTTCGTACCTGGTGGGGCCCAACTCTTCCAGGTGCTAGTGAGAGGAAGTGATGACAGGAAGTCGGGTGGGCATTCAGACATCACATCAGAAACCACTGCAGGTTTTCTCAGACACCTCCCCTCTACCCCCTTCCTAGGTCCTCAGGCTGCTCGGCCTGTCCGAGGGGGCGCCCAGATGAGACCTCTGCGAACACACCCTGTTCCCCAGCAGCCTCACTGCCAGTTTTCTTCTGCTGAGTTCCACTGTCCTGACCAGACACATTTTAGAAATGGATGAAAGGAGAAATCTCTCCAAGGGAGTGAGGTGCTTGTAGGTATCCTGAAACACCCAGTAGCTGTCCAAAATTACCTTAATTGCAGCTCAGGGTGACACAGGGCAACTGACATGGCGCCCCAGGGCTGCCTCTGAGGGCCTTCGTTTTACACCCTGAACACTCTGCAAGTTGGTGCAGCTGGCTTGGGGACAGGGCTCAGTTGCGTCCAGTGTGGGGAAAGACAGGAAAGTGGAAAAGCTTTGTTTCTGAGGACACAGGGGGCTTTTATTTGGACAGAGTTCAAAGGCTTGTGTTACGGCCCAACCCCCACCCCTTTGTCCCACTGCCCCCCACTTGCTCCTTTTTTTTTAAAAAGATTTATTTATTTTAGAGAACGAGAGCACGAGTGTGGGGGAGAGGCGCAGAGGGAGAGAATCTTCAAGCAGACCCCCCACTGAGTGTGGAGCCCACTGTGGGGCTCCATCTCACAAACCATGAGAACATGACTTGCCCACTTGCTCGTTTCTTAATATCTTCCCATTTTCTTTTCCTACCGCAGGCTCATTTTTAACCTTCACCCAGACACTCTGCTTTCCTACCACTCTCTCACCTCTTCATGTTTTCTCCCTTGGTGTTCAGCCCGGGGACACAATGAAAGAAGGCAGAGATCCACACAGAGCCAGAGTCCCCAGGATCTGTGCCTTCATGCCTTTCTTGGGGCCTTTTTGAGCTCTGAGACTTGGCTGGAGTCCTTCTGGGAGAATGTGACTACTCTTTCCTTTTGCTCAGAGGCAGGAAAGTGGTTACCCAGAGGGCCTCAGAGTCTTGGCAGATCTTGGTGAGGTAGCTAGGAGAAAACAAGAGGGAAGGAGGTTGGTTTCAGTTGAGGTAACCCCAAAAGCAGGGGGCTGTAGTATGGGGACTGGCTGGAACTCAGGACACGGGCTTCATCCCTGGTCTGGGTGGGGAGGTGGCTAGATCTGGCTGATTCTACAAGTAAGGAGGGGCAGGGGCAGGGCTGAGGGCAAGCAGGTGCTTACCTTGCCGTCTCTGAAACCCCAGGAACAACAGGGCAAGAAGGAAGAGGCTGCTGGCAAAAAGGACTCCAAAGGCTGTTTTCTGCTCTGTAGGTTGAGAGCAGCATGGGCAGGAATCAGTAGGTTGGAATAATTTCCAAGCCCACACCCACCCCAGCAAGAGGGAAAAAGCGGGGTGGCGGGGGGAGAGGAAGAGAGAGAGAGAGAGCGTGTGCACGAATGCGTCCCCATCCCCGGTTAAGGAGCGTTCTGGTTTCACCCAGGAACTGGGCACACTGTAGTATTCGTACTTGTTGAAAGTTGTTGGCTATCTGTGTGCTCCTCCACATGGAATTTCCTATCCCTTCCCACCTTGGGACATTTAGAGAGATTTAGGTTAGATGAGTTGTTCACAGGTGAACTGAAATTTTGCGACTAGCTGGGGAATGATGTAAGCTGAGACAAAACCCCACTTCTTTTTTTTTTTTTTTTAAAGATTTTAAAAATTTGAGAGAGAGAGAGAGCATGAGAGGGAGAGGGTCAGAGGGAAAAGCAGACTCCCCGCCGAGAAGGGAGCCCCATGCAGGACTCGATCCCGGGTCTCCGGGATCATGACCCGAGCCGAAGGCAGTCGCTCAACCACTGAGCCACCCAGGCGCCCCCAAAACCCCAGTTCTGGGGAAGCTTGCAGTCTGGCGAGCCACCAAAGAATGCCCAATGCTCCTGGACGTTTGCATTTCTTCTTTAAAACCTTTCAATGACACTCTGTGACTTTAGGATGACATTCCAGCTCGAAGGCCCATTGTGATCTGCCCACTAATAGCAGTTGAGGGTTTAAGGCTGTAGGGCAGTCAGGCTGCCCATTTTTCATATTTTACCATTTACTAGGTGGGTGACCTTGGGCAAATTACCTAACATCCATATGTGCTAGTTTGCTCATCAATAAAATGGGAGTCATGATAATACATGTGATCATACAGCTAAGTGCTTAGCACAGTGCTTGCTTCATGTAAATGCTCAATAAATGTAATTACTTTCAAGCTTCAGGCCACTTCTCCCTTTTCCCACACACTCCTGGCTCTAGCTGTGTAGTTCCCCAAATTCTCCTGAGACTGTTTTATAATTTGGCCTTCACGTGTGCCGTTCTTTCCATCTTGGCTGTTCCCCTCCCCCCTGAGCTAGCTCACTTGGTTGGTTTGTCTCCTGCAGGCCGTCTTCCCTGACTGCCTAGTCCGTCCCTCCAAGCTGACTAAGCTGCTTGAGGGCAGGAACAATTCACCCTTGATCTCCAGCTCTCAGTATATTGCCTGGTGCCCTGGAACCTGGGGTATAGGGGAATCTTGGGATGTGGAGGCAGCTATGGAGGCTGCCGCCTCGGGAACCAAGAAGCGGAGGCTCAGCGAAGTGCTGTGGGAAGCAGAACAAGGCCAGAGACGAGCTGGGGGCAGGAGAGCCACGAGCCCAAGTAGGGAGGTGGGGCAAGGAGGGCACTCCTAGTACCTGGTGGGGAGACCTGGGTGCTGGCCCTGAGGGGCTGCTCCAGGGAGCTGTGGGTGACCTGGCAGGTGTAAGTGGCGCCTGCAGGGCCAGGTTCTACCATCAGGAAGGAGGAGATGCTGTAGGTGCCTGCTGGGCTTTGCCGGAGGCTGGAGAAGGACGCACCAGAGACTGGGACTGGGGCTCCGCCTGGCTCCTCTCGGGTCCACGTCACAGCCATGTCCAGAGGGTAATAGCCAGCGATGTTGCAGATGAGGGTGGCTGGCGGAGTTTTGTTCTCCAAGCTCAGTTGTACTTTGGGGGAAGCTGGAAGAAAGAATGAGGAATAAGATTCCAGAGGGCTCCAACCTGACAGCAGAGTTGCCCAAAGCCTTCTTTCTCTTCCTGCTGGCAGTCAGAGTAGGTTGTGGAAGCTGAAGTCAATTAACCCCTGAGTGGAGTGCCCAAGGCGGGTGTAAGGGGTCCACCCTGGATGCAGGCCAGAAGGGGGCACATCTTCCACAGGTAGTTGAAAAGTGATAGTAAAACCAAGTAAAGGTTGGCTTCTTATCATCACGATAAGCTGCTGATTTTCAGGGACATCAGTGATGAAATACTCTTGCCAGTCGGACGGCTCCCACGACCCCCACTTGGTTTGCTGCTGCCCCTCCTCAGGATGTGGCCCAGAGGACTGGGCTACTTGGGAGACAGCCAGCTGGGACAGGGCAGCAGGACCCGGGGCTGGGACACCGCCTGGTGGAATTATCCTAGAGTCTGACAGGGGGCAGTCTGTGCCCCTAGGATGTAGATGGCAGTTAGTTCGTGGCAATGCAGTCTGCCTCTCGAGAAATTGCCCCTGTGTTGGATTCTGTCCTGGAAAATGCTCGCATAGGCATATCCCTTCCCCTCTCCCTGAAGAACCGAGTATGGCCTAACCTTGGACGTGGAGCTGGATGATTTGTTGAGCTTGGTACAGAGAGGTGGTGATCTGGCAAATGTAGGTCCCCTCGTCCTTCAGAGTGAGGCTAGGCAGGGTGAGGGAGGCATCCCCGGCCACGAGTAGCTGCTCAGGCTCCAGGGTGGCGCCCTCCCGCTTGGCCTGCCGCTGCGCCCTGGTCCAGCTGTACACCAGCTCGCCGCTGCCCTTATGACGCAGCCGCCACTCCACACCGGTCAGCTCCAAGCCCGGTGCCATGGAGAAGCCGCAGTGCAGGGAGGCTGAGGACCCCAGCAGGAAGTTCAGGGACGGGGTCTGTGTTGTCACTTGGAGCTCCACTGTAGTGAGAAGAAGAAGGGTGATTGTGGGCTACTTCCTCCTTGAGTCCACCTGATCTCTAGCTGTGGGCATGTTGTGGGCATCCACCTGCCCCTGCCTCCTCCTCTGGACAATGAGACCAGTTGAGCTCATCTCCCACTAGATGGAACCACAAAGAAATGGTGCTCTGGAAAGGCAGCCTGGCACACATGGTAGTCCTAACTATTTTGGAGTCACTTACCCCTGGACAATCTGATAAAAGCTATGGACTTCTCACCAGAAAAGTACATATGCAAAATTATGGGTTAATGTTGACCTTCAGGTCAGACCACTGGAATAGCAGAAAAAGCTTTGGATCCCTGTTTCTTCCACTTACTAGCTCTGTGACCTTGGGCAAGTCACTAAGGGTTGCCAGGGTCATCTGTTTAAGGAAAGGCTGCTGTGAGACTACATAGGAGTAAGAGTTTTAAAAAGCACACAGTGGTAGTATTTGTGCCAAACGTGCTGAACCTGAATCTAATGAGGAACAATCAGACACATCCAAATGGTGGGATGCTCTTCGAGACAGTGGGCCTGGACTCTCCAAATGTCAGTGCGAGGAAAAGAATGTTCTGGACTTAAGGAAGCTAAAAGCTTGGGGCACCTGGGTGGCTTGGTTGGTTGAGCATCTGCCTTTGGCTCAGGTCATGATCCTGGGGTCCTGGGATCAGGCTCCATGTTGGGCTCCCTGCTGATCAGGGAGCCTGCTTCTCCCTCTCCTGCTCCCCCTGCTTGTGCTCTCTCTCTGTCAGGTGAATAAATAAAATCTTAAAAAAAAAAAAAAAAAAGGAAGCTGAAGGCACAGGACAACTAAATGCAATGCATGATCCTTGTTTGAATCCTGGTCTTTAAAAAAAAAAAAAGCAAAAACCCAAAAACAAACCAGAAAGCTATAAAGAACATTCTTGGGGCAACTGGAGAAGTTTGAATTTGGACTCTATATTGATAGTATTACTGTATCAATTTTAAAATTTCTTAAGTCTGATGCTCAGTGGCGTACCAAGGAGTGGTGGGGGCGATGGGAAGAGAGTGCCCTGGCAGGGAGGAGTATTTTATCACCAATAGTGTTCAAGATTGCCGATACGGTGATGGTGTGATGGTGAGAATATGTTGTTGAATTCTTAACACACTGTACCCCCTTATTGCCTGCACCACTGTAAACTGCTCCCCACCTTGGTTTGCTGCTAGGGTGATGGTTTTGTGATTATGAAGGAGAATATCCTTGTCTTTGGTTATAAATTTTGTGTTCTAAATGAATACATGCTCTGCATGGAAACTTTTGGGGTGAAGTGTTGAGATATCTGCAACTTACTTTCAATTAGTTCAGGGGGGAGGCTATCTATCCTTCCATTTATCAAGAGAGAGAATGTGGCAAAATATTAATAATTGGGTATTCATTACCCAATTTTTTTACCCAATCCTTTGCCCATTATTCTTTCACCTTTTTTTTGTAGGTTTGAAATATCCCAAGATAAAAGGGGGGTTACTTAGCTGTGCCACTGGACAGATAAAGAGAACTCCTCTTTTCTAATGTGGCAGGATAAATTTAGGTTGCACCACAGAAAGCTTCGAGTGTTCTGGGGCTTCCTACGGATAGGAGGGTAGCCCCCTAATCTCTGGACTTGGTTGTCTCTTTTTGGAGGCAAAATACGGGATTTGATGAATTCTGGAGAAACCTATCATCATGTTCTCAATTTCCTGTACCCGCTGGGTGGGATGTGCTGGGTGGGAGAGGGCAAGGACCAGGTTTTACTAATAAGAGCTAATGAACGAATTTGCATCGCTGTCGTTGCTCTAATCATCTTGAAGCACCAGACCAGGCTGGCTTTCACTGGGCTACAACTGGTACTTGGCTTAATAAGACTGCTAGGGACAGCATATGTGAATAGAGCATCACAGGTCATTTCCTTAGATGAGGGAGGTGAAAATTATCCCAGAGGTGAAAATTATCCCAATCCAATTATTTGGGTCTTTAGGAGAAAGGACCGAGGCTAGGGGACACCTTGAGATGACTGATGTGGATGGAGGTGGGCTTGTTCCCTTCCTCCTCCTTCTATTCCCCCCCATAGCTGACCACTTGGAAAAAAAAAAAAAACGCCAAACTTTCTTTCTGCTACTTTTAATTTTCTCACCTGCAGTCGGTACCATCCCATGGGGGCTCAAGGGCAGGTTCAGTGTGGGGTGCAAGACAGCCCCATTCTCAGCATCCCTGGGAGTCTTCATCACCATGGAGACACTAGGTCCCCCTCCGGATACCTGCACGTTGGTGATGAACCAAGCTGCCTTCACACTGGCCTGGAGAAAATAGTGGGAGATCTCACAGGTCACCTCCTTCCCGTTGCAGTCAGCATGGAGCAAGGCCTCGGCCTGGGGGATCTGTACCAAGTTCACTGGGGGAGAAGGGCAGCACAGAGGTCTAGTTGGTTTGAGGACACCTGGCCCTCGGGAACTGGGCTGTCTCAGCAGAGGGAGCTCAGAAAGATTGGGACATAGGGTGGAGGGTTCTTACCCGAGGCCTCGAAGGTAACAGGTGGGTTGTCTTTGGCCAGTGTGCCCCCTTGGAAATCGGTGAAGCCTTCCAGGGAGCCGTCATCCAGCATTGGTACCTGCCTCAGCACGAGCAAGGCCTTCACCGTGTTCCTACTGCTGGCAAAACCTCCATGCTGCCTACCTTCCTCCACCAGGAAGCAGTTTAGGACCACATCCACTGCCCGCCACTGCGTTTCGGCTGCAGGTTAAAAGATGGGGTGAGCACCCTCTTCCCAGAGAGTTGCTTCTGTGCTCGAGGGTCACCCACCCCAACTGTGGAGTCATCAAGGAAGGGGTAAAAATCTTCCAGGGTCCTAGCTGTCTCTTTGTCTCTCTCTTGTCACCCCCAAACCAGCCTTCTGGGAAGCCCCTGCTACTCCAGGTACATACTTGGTATGAATTATTTAAAATGCTGGATTTGCCTTGCTCAGAAGACTTTGTTTTTATTCTTACTACAACTGTTGCAAAAAAACTACCTCTTCAGTCAAAGGAATTCTCAGCAAAAGCAAATAAATGAGCAAAATTGCCACTGGGAGAGGAGACAGGACACTTGTGTGGCTAGGGGCCTTGGCAACCATCTTCTCCATTTCCCAGCCAGCCCACTGGGTCTGCTCCGCTTTCTGCCATTACAGGTGGCCTTCCCCTCCCCCACCTCCAGGGCTCACCTCCCGCGGGGATTTACTAGCCCCAGGAACCCTTCCTTTTCACGGTCTGCTCCCAGGCAGTGCCCTCTCGGCTAGGCCCCCACCACATCCACCCAGGAGGCCCCTCTTCTCTTCATTTGGCCTTTCCCACAGTCTTCTACCCTCTCCCCAACACCATTGGTGTCCTACTCTGCCAGCCTTTTTCCTTGATTCCTGTTGGGCTTAGGAGGCGATAGGAAGCCATCCCTGCCCCTCCCCCAACCCTTTCCCCTTCGGGAATCTCACGGCAGGTGGCTACCTGGTGCGCCCTGGGCCCGACACTCCCCCCCGCCCCCCCAGCCAGTGCTCCCCACTCACCTGGGTCAGCCGCCACCCGGGACAGAGCCAGGCAGAGCAGCAGGCACCATCCCTCTCCCGTGCCCATGGAGGCGGTGCGCCCGCCACTCGTCTCCCGCGTCCCCCACCGCCCTTCTGCACGGCCTCCCACTGGCACGGCCGGGCTGGGGAAGAGGGGGCCTCTCCAAACCGCCCTCGCCAGCCTGTTGCTTTCTCGTCAGTCCTTGGCCTCCTCCTCTTTCGCTTTCACTTTGATTGTCACCGCGGCTGCCTTTGCCTGGGAGAGAAGCCACCGGGTGCTCCTGCCAGAGTCCTGTTCATTGTTCTCCTTTTTCTCCCCTGCCAAATCCTCTGGTTATCTCAAGACCTGACTTGACTGCATGCACCCTTTTGCTCCCCACCCAAGAAAGTGGAGCTGAAATAAGGGGGAGGGGAAGGGCGAGACTGAAGGGCTACTGGGGACCTTTCTTCATTTTCTGTGGGTGCCACACCCACTCGCGACCCCCACCCCCCGACTTGGCCGGGCCCCAACACTAGTCTGCACTGGAGAAAGCTCCTCCCTCAGATCCCCGATCTGGGAGAAGAGGCTGGGAGTGGCCTGCACCGTGAGATTGGAATTTCAGAGAGACAGCGCGGGGAGAGCTTCGGTGTGTGGTTGGCTGGCACTTTATTTTGCCGAATTTTTAGGTCAGTGATACCGCACGTGGTGGTTCGTAGGGGAAAGTGTGTTCTCCAGCTAGGGCCCCAGCCCTCCAGTGCAGCGCAGGGGTGAAGGTGGCTGGGCCAGGGCACACGCGGGGCCCCTGCGCCCCATCCTCCACCTTTTCCCATGCGCCCTTGTCACTGCCAATCTCCAAAAGTCACTTTCTCAAGTCTGCGCACAGGAAAGGGTCCTGATGACAGGATGGTACTGAAACCCGGGGGTGGGGGT